CTGGAAGGGGGAGCAGAGCAGGGGCAGGGGACAGCTCTGCAACAGCCAGTGCCCGTGAGATGGGAAGGGGCCAGCCTTGGGGGGCACTGGGACTGGGGCAGGGAGTGCCTGGCAGTGTGTCCCCAAGGTCACCGTGGCTGTTTGTCCCCACAGTTCTACGGCCCGCGGATCGGCGCTCTATACGTGCGCGGCCCCGGCACCTCCACCCCCCTGCACCCTCTGCTCTTCGGGGGGGGACAGGAGAGGGGCTTCCGACCAGGGTAAGGTGGTGGCCTGGAGAGCTAGGCTGTGGCTGGTGGCCACGCTGCACTGGCAGCTCTGTCCCTTGCCAGCCCTGGGGTGGGCAGCCTGGTGCACAGGTGTGCTGCTATGGAGGAGCCTCAGGGTGGGACTGCCCCTTCCCAGCCATCTCGGGGTGTCTAGGACGTGGCAAGGATGTGGGGATGTCCGGTGGCAAGGGGAACGTCTGTGACCCGAAGTTGGGTTCCTGGTCCAGAGAAATGATAATTCCCTGTTCTCTCTTCCCCCCTAGCACTGAGAACACCGCGATGATTGCTGGCCTCAGCCAGGTGAGCCTGTGCTGGACCCCAGTGAGTGGGTCCCCGGGGGTGCTGCCTGGCAGAGCCAACATGGAGGTGGCCACTGATGGTCCCTGGTCATTAGAATTGACACACTCAGGGTGTGGGAGGGCAGGGGAGCTACTGGGAAAGGGGCTTTCTGGTGCCAGTCAGAGGTGCCTGGGGGCACTGCTGGCAGTTGTGCAGCTCACGTGGTGTCAGGCTGGGGACACAAGGGACCTGGCAATGGCAGAGGTGTTCCCACTATTGGGGGGCTGCTGACAGAGCCTGTCTGGGTTTCCCCTCCTAAGGCTGCAGAGCTGGTGAGCAAGAACTGGGAGGCCTATGAGGCTCACATGCGGGACGTTCGGGATTACCTGGAGGCCAGGCTGGAGGTGAGCACACCTGGTTCCTCTTTCTGTCTCCCCTCCTGGGGTCTCAGCCTGCAGTATGGGGCCTGGAGCCAGGGTGGGTATGTCCCTCTGGTCCTGTCATCTCCTTCTCAGGACAGAGCTGCTCGTGAACCTGAGAGGGGATGGTTCACAGCCCTCTGATTTCTCCAGGCCTCCTTTGGGAAGCAGAGGATCCACTTCCACAGCCACT